CATATCTACACGATCTTTAAATGGCACAGGCTTAAGCCTCAACACGGTCTCTCGCCCCTCAAGCTCAATGGAGTCAAGTCGAAGACTCTCTCGGGAAGGCGGAGACACTCAGACAAGAGATACTTGCAAGGTTTAGCGCGGCAGACGATATGGAGGAAGACCCTCTGAAAAAATGGGACGGAAATACGCGTATTCCTTGCGATACTAACATCTTGTTCGAAGAGGTGGAGAGAAACACTGTCGGGTTGGCCAGTACCTCTGCAGGATTTGATCGAGTCACTGTTCGACTCATGAAGGCTTGCTAGGAACACATCAGCAACGACAACCACGGCCTATATTCACGCTGTCTCGCATTAAGCCACTCTCTCCGCAGCTGGAAGCGGGCAGAGCTTGTCATGCCCCCCAGAAGCGAGGAAAAGTGTCAAACTATGGATAGTTTGGAAGCGACAAACGCTAGATATAGGGTTTTAGGTGTTAGCTTTACAAAGCTTGGAGTTATTTGTTTCCAACAAAGGTATTTCGCTTGGGCTATAGCTATAAGAGCTCTAAATCTTCTGACTAGAGATGTTTCGTTCTAAACCACGAGAAACTTGGTTCACGGAGACAAGTTGGAGACAGATAGCAGATTGCCATTTTCTGAACATACACAATCTAGATGGAAACATAAAGAGAAGAGGGCAGCCGGGGATTAATTGACACTTTTTACATGATTCAATTGACTCGTAGAGTCTAACAAAAAGAGTCAAGACATTGGTCTGATCATGCAGAACGATTATTCCACTCTCCTGACTTTCCAAAGGGCTAGAGATAAGAGTGGCTCCACGCCTAGCTTGGACAAATCTATCGCACGGCCTTCTTTGTCACCAACAGTGAAAGATGTTTGCTTTCATACAAACAAAGGGATGTTTTTGTTATCATACACGTCGACGACTTCCAAGTCATGGGAGCAAAATTGGAAAAGATATAGGCACTGATAAGAGCATTTCGTAGGAAGTACAAACTCAGATCAGTCAAGATGGATTTGTTTCTGGGAATAAACATCAGCAATCCTGATAGAAATACCTTGATGCTGTCACAGGAGCAATAGACGAGGAAGCTCCCCGAGAGATATGGACCTTCTCAAAGCAAGACAGCTAACATACCAATGCAAAGATTCTTGGAGCTTAATTACAAAGAATGCACGGCAAAAACTAAGTATGAATATAATTCAATAGTCATAGGGCTACAATATTTGGCGAACAACATGTGACCGGACGTAGCCCACTCCATTAGACTTTTTAGGAAAAATGAGGTTTGCATTTGGTAAAATCAAAGTCTGTATATCTCTCTTTTTTTAGAGGTCAAAAACTCTTCTATATATTGATGATCGTATTTGATCCAACTTCTACCTCAGTTCAATGCGAAATATCCAGAGCGATGTTTAAACGCTAACTCTGTTTCGTTATGCGGAGATAACAATTTCAAAACAACCTCAAAAACAATAAGTCCGTGATTGTAAAACAACGAAATTAGACGAGACACCAATCTGAATGCCTGAACATGACTTAACGTTTCACACACTCAGTCAATCACATGGCCAGGTTTCTAAATAGCTCATGGAATGAGCACCAAAGGGCCGCAGGCAGGGTACTACGATATATTGTAAAGGGTCCTGTGAAAGGGATAACATTCGTTGAAGGTTAAGGAAAGCCAGTCCTAGAGGCATACTCAGATGCCGACTTCCCCGGTGACCCATCTTCAAGCAGGGGCTTACAAGTGGTAATATCAATATTGCACAACTTCGGATAATGAGGAGCAAGAGTGGGATAACAATTATGTATAAAGTGGTTGTTATTATCCTCTTCAATCTAAGTAGTTTAACATGGATTGAAAATAACTACCTCTGGCCATAAGGTTGCCCAAGTGTCTATGCTCAGACTGTGGCACTCTCTACAATCGAACCCGAATACCTGTTAATTTAATTTGTTCATTGACTTTGAGACGGCACCCAGATTGTATTACTTCGTGTTTTACTAACAGATACGCAAGAAAGAGTCGAGTATGCACGGCAAGTTCATTAAGTGATATGGGTGGGGTTATGCCGTAGAGAAGGATACTAAGTAGACTGATTTAGTGATTCCTCAGTATTGGAGAATCACTGCTCTTGTATTTATGGTATTTTTGACCTCCTTCATTGTTATCACAATTTTACTCTTCTGGGTTCAAGGCCGCATAGTTCTATTCCCTGAACGGTCTCTCTCTCTTCTTTTCGTTAGCTCTCGGTGTATAGATGCAGGAGTATCCTTGATATATCAACCAATAGCTGAGTTCAATCGTGTAATAGTACATGTATCGTGACAATCATAACCATCTGCCAATGCTCTCCATGAAAAGCGGAGGGCCCTAGGTGTGCCATGAGACCAGGTGATTTTGCTTCTCTAGGATATGTAACAATCGTGAAAAGCGGGGACAATCATGACAAGATTCGAGTGAAATAGAACCATAACGATACAGGGTACGACCGTAGCCTAATTGAATTGTATAAACAAGGTTTTAGCTTACATATCCCACATGTTTGGATTGAACCTTTTTCTCAAATTGACGCCATAAGAAGGAATAGATGCGATAATGGTAAGATCGATATCACTTCACTAGGAATGCTCTTTAGTTACCACTTTATTCCAATGTATTTGCGCACTGAATTCCGACATTTTTGTGTACTTTCGAAAGTCCAGGTAAATTTTACATCGAAAATCCACGTTGACGCACTTATGAAAGAGGACTCTAGCTGGCCGCTGTAAATGATACATGGAGGTGTTAATTTTTGTTGAAATAAATATTTAAAAAGTAGGCAGCTGTCTCTAGGGAAAAATTAAGACCAAAATTTATCACCTTCATTTCCGTAAATTATGGCAACTGAATTCAGTGTATAGTCCAAAGAAATGCGCAGGATTTCCTCAACCAGAACGCTAGAGCTATGGTCAGATTCCATAATTCTTTTTACTATGTGACCGAGTAATTATGAAGCCTTCGAATATGCAAGAGATCATTAAAAAATCCATTCCCAAACTGTCTCTGCTGGTGTTTCGTTGCTTCATCATGTACTTAAGGGCTGCAACCAAAATACTTGATGATGCCGATCGAACCGTAATATCGACAACAAGAAATAGCATCCGAGCAGAATAATAAGTCTGATACTCAAATGCCCTACACTGTGTTCTTTCGCTGTCGTTCACCAATGTCAACCTCTTTAACGATATCACTGACCGCTATCCTGTCTGCCAGTGCTTTGTCGTGCATTTCTTTTGCTTCCGCCCACTTCTTCAGCACAATCTGATCTTCCTGAACGGTGGATCGATATTTCTCTACGTCATTACCCCTCCATCGCTTTTCACCGAGATTTTCATTTTGATTTTTACGCGCTACGAGATGCAGCAAGTACTTCTTGTCAAACTGATCCCATTCTATCATGTACCGCTCAAACTTGGACTCATATTCGAGGTATATTTTTTCACTCGGCTTTTTCACCTGAGGCAATGTAGGCGCTACAGGTGGTGTGGGGAAGTCAAGAATAAGATCTCTGATCTTGAGATCAGAAAATTTGATCTTCAAAGCCGCAGTATGAAGGTTGTCTCGGCTCAAGGCTTCGGGGTGGGAGACTCGACGTTTCTGGGAGGCTTGATTGATCCTTGAGCTGTCAGTTTTTCCTTTAGGCTCAAAGTTACTCGCGGGGGCTATAGGTGTATCGATATCCATGGGTTCAGGGATGGGAATATTGTTTGCTAGAGGATCTTGTCTTATAGATTTACAACCAGCTGAATCTTGATTACCATTTTTGAGCCTTACGTCTACGCCTGCTACTTCATTGTTGTTAGAGCGGATGTTAGGACCTGATCTCTTGCGGTTACTGTTTGAGCTTGATATCGTCTTGGGCACTGACGATGGCATGAAGGTTTGTGGCATGAAGGTTTCTGCCCAGTCATTGGCTGAGAATTTGGTTCGATTTGACGTCTCGCTAAATGGGTTGAGAGTCGGTGTGGATTTAGTTTCTAATGGTTCAGGCTTTGTGGAGGCTTTTGTAGGTATTGTTTCTGGAGACTTGAGTTTTTTGGGAGATCGAACTGTCTTGGATCGAACGTTAAACTGAGAGGGCTTGGTATCAGGTATAAAGCAATTTGCATTCCATCCCGCAGCGAATTTGCCATCCCATTGCTCTGCGCTGAATTTTGTGCTGAATTTTTCGGCATCATTACTGAAAGAATAGCCCTGACTAGAAAGATTATGGTTAAACATATCATCGTTAACGGCAAAAGAGAAGCTGTATTTTCACACGTCAGTAATCATATCAAACATTTTGAATATACTTCAATATGTGGATTTTCCTAAACCTTGAGAATATTTTTGTGAAAGATGTAATTCTAAAAGGCTAATCTTGCATTTTGAGAGGTTATAGTCCAAGGCCTAAGAAACGAACGGGAAATAAAGCCAATACCTGCTGTGAAAATGAAATTTCATTTAGTCTTAGCTTTTACGGTATCAGACATGGGGAAAATAGACTTCGAGTTTCCGGATATAAGAATATCAATAATTGCCCGCTGATGATCTTCGAAGAGATTGAGGTGGTTTTTGGAGTAATAAATTCCATCAGGAGGCGGTATGTGTTGTGGGCTAGACACAACTTGTAAAGAATGATGCAATGGATTTCTACAGCTACTGGTAGGTGGAGGATTGAAGGTAGTCTTGCAGCTTTCCATCTGGTAATGCCTTTCGAGAAAAATGGGTGGAAGTCTGTATGAATTGTTCAAAATGGGGACACTTATCTCATGACTGAACTTCACTTTACTAGAACTGCTGATAGAGTGATTTTCAAACATTTCGTCCGAAACTGTCGGAATTCGAGTATGAGAATGGTAAAAAGTGGAGTTTGCATACATATTGGGTTTTTTGTCCCGATTTGAAGCTTCTGATTGGTCAAAAGGTGGTGATTGAACGCCTTGAATGACTAGTTAGAATTCGTCTCTTTAACAGGTATTCGCTCTGTGGTTGCTTAAGCGTTCGATTTCCAAAAACTTACGTGCTGCTCTTGGATTAATAGGATCCGGTTTTCTTATGCTGTCGGTGGCTGAAGGGAGAAAGGGCTTTGTATTTGAATCTTCTTTAGACGGACTCTTATTCTGTGGCATGGGTGGCCTAGTCTCAGTATTTAATCTAGGGGGGAGGTGAGGAGCTTTTATTGGTGACTCTTTTCTAGATCCGTTCGAAGATCTTGAACAGTCTGAGGCATCTTTTTTATGGTTGAAAGGATCAAATCTCTCACCACCGTGAGTGGCATACGGAGTACTGACTCGTGGCTCTAGTGAAGGCTCCAAATTTATTTTGCTTGAAAAGCTTTGTAGAGGATCATTCTCAGGGTTCCGCGGTGGAACTGGAGGCCTAGATTTATCGTTAAGTGTAGAATATGCACCTTTCGGTGCTGGAAGTTCATCACCTCCAGGAGTACTTGGCATAAAACCATTTTTGCGCTGCGGAATGCTGTTCTTCTACCGTCAGTTAGAGGAATCCGTCGTTTCTATTATAAAATTGATCGACCAACCGATTGATTGTACGACCTTTCCTCTCGGCCTGGCTGACGATTGGATCTCGGCGGAGGTGTTGGGATTCCATTATTTTTCTTCATACCTGGGTCAGTTTTGTTACTTTCTTGTTGACTTCTTGTATTTTCCCATGCTTCATATGTAGCCTTGCGTGCCTGCGCACCCTCTTGTGTTGCTTGATACGCAGACTGCTGGGGAGGCTTGAAATTCTCATAGCGACGGGTACCATCCGTCGCAAAAGGGGCTGGCCGATTGCGTGCGGTTGGTGGTTTCGGAGGAGGGGGATAAGTTTTTCCAACATTAGACCATGGGTTTCCTCGTTGACCGTAGCCTGTATGGCTACTCGAAGTATTACGTGAGCTATCGAATCTGTGGTTAACATCATATCTAGCCCGTTCGAGGGGATCTATCAAGACTTCGTATGCAGACTGAATTCGTTGAAACTTAGCGGCATCTAGATTACTTTTCCCTATGTTACGATCCGGGTGATACACAAGAGCTAATGAATATTTCAGTCTTATATCTATTTAGTCCATGGTATTAGTGACACACCTAGCTTTTTATATTGCTTTTTTATCTCAGCAATATCTGAATTTTTGTTCAGTTCTAGATCATTGTAATAGTCCCGAGAGTAATCCGCTTTGACCATGATTTATTTAATGGGGATTTAAGATCCAGATACTGTGAGGGCAGAGATTGACACGCCGATGCATCTGATGCGTAAAAAGCCGTACTCTGTAGAATCTGCCTTTTGAGTCAGCAGATAATTGTGTACCAGGGAATATGGGATAAACATTACGGTTGAATTAGTATTGTCCTGATGTGCAAGCTGCACAATCAATGACAATAAACAGTGGTGTAATCGGTTGCTTGATGCCGCGGACTTTGATTGTTTATGGAGAAGAGATGTACGAGAATTCGAAAGCGATCTGAAAGATCGCGCGTCTATGCTTACCGCGAAAAGGATAGTGCAGCAATGTGGGGAACCGAGGAGGGGTGTGAAAATGATTTTCATGCACTGGTAGTATAACCTCGATATCCGAAAAGGGCTCCAATGCTCGCCATGATAATTCGTCAGCCAGATTTAATTCTTGACTTAAGTGGAAGTTCAATAATATCATTGGTCATGTATTATTATGATTATGATTTTTTTGTTGTTATTATTATTATCTCTTCCTAGACTAAGACTACATAGTATATGTAGGTCCTTTCTGCTTACAGGCCAAGGATACCGATGCTTGTAATATTTCCTCTCTCATGCCTCCTATGCAGCTCACCTCAAAAGTATTTGTCACGTAGACGTGTCAAAAAATACATTAACACTTACTGGGCACCTTTTCAGTCTACTGCCTCTGATTTCCACTACCAACGCGTCCCTTAATTGAGTCTAAACCTCAATAACCACGAGAGGTGTGCCAAGACTTAAACTTTGGTTGTGCAGTCTGAAATTTGCTGGGCTCGTTCTTGTTCGTATTTTAGCGGTCAAAGGCACAGGGTAACCAATAAGCCTTTTGACGGAAACACTCGTCTTGTCTTGCATCACTCTAAGTTGACGTACAAGACACCTGTTAATCTCCATAAAAGATTTTTGAAAGATGTTTACTGTAAAGATATCTTTCCCCACTGTAAGATTTTTCTGCTTAAGGTACCATGTACAGATCAATACAGTTTTAAACTAACGTAACTGCCCACATTAGCTGTTGTCTTAATGTTTTGCCTGCGCGCCTCTACGCGTCGGCATTGTCCCCTTGCACAAAATTTTAGTAATCAACTATACGCCCTGCATAGCCGATATGTTTGGGATCAAGGGGTATAAGAATAGATTTTGTTACTAGGCACCTGACCACCTTGAGCAAGTATAGACACCAGATTGGGATTGAAAAATTCTGGTAACATTCAGAATTGGGTCTGTTCTTTTTTCCTTTGATCTAAATTTCCTGATTTCGCACCTTGCAGGCTTAGAGATTTGGCCACAAACTCTTCACATGTTGGAAAGTATTTCTGTTTGTTATGCGCTGAGTGCGCCGCATCACCTCGTTGCTGAGACATTCTCTTGGTGACTTGGCTAATACACACTTCCCTTTTGATCTTTCAAATTTGCACTTAATTAACCCTACGTGTATGGGGACTTTTCTCAACACCTGTCAGTGGTGTCCCCTACGAGCCTCCAGCTCTCACTGTAGAGTCTGCAGAGCCGAGACTGATTAACAAAGTCTTCACTTCGATGGGGATTCCCAATCGCTTTCGCGGTCTGTATCGTCTTCATCTCCCAACACATTCCCCTACCACCACTGTCATGAAGTTAACCACGGTCAGACTAGATGGTAAAGTTGGAGCCCTTCTCGTCAACAAACCTTGATCATGGAGGAAAAGCTATTCCATGAATTTCCGGAGCGTACCCAGCACCCGATACGGAGATGGTGGATTGGATCAAGTTTGCCTCTAATATTACACAGGACGGACATTTAGATGGATATGCGCACGTCATGTGGTCCCGGTGTCTAGGCCTCGCCTGGCTGGGACTGTAGATTCTTTGATACTTTTTCTCGCGCAATTAGTTCACATTGCTACCATTTTTTTGTTTTTTGGGTAGAAATTTCCGTGGAAAAGGTGGACGAATTCCACGGGTAAACACTGAGCTGAATGGCTATTCATCACGGGCAATATATCAATAATCTTTCAAGAAATATGAGAACCAGGGAGCACTGTGCAAGGTGTGGCCTGGGCCAGAGAGGAGTCCAATATGCTAGATGGTCATAGACCCAAGTTGTACAATAAAAAACACCCCTCAACCCTAGGTGTACGTAAATAAAGGCTGATCGACTATACATATGAATACGTTTATATTTATGTGAGAGTATTAGATTAAGTTAACGTTAAATTCTTATCTGAGCTTATCATAATGGAGGACTTTATAATCTTTTTGAAAGAGACTAGTTATATTAAAATTACGCCCTTAGGGCTACACACATGCAATGAGCAAGGCAGTGTAGCTGCTAGAACATGAAACACCTACAAGTGACATAAATGCCAATTTAGTCTTGGCATTACTCAGCAAACACCTACACCCCATTTATATAGATCTAGTTGTAGTTATTCCTTCTTCTCCTTTCATAGCCTCTCTACCATCTTCCCACCTCGTGATTATTAAGCATATTTTGCCATTTTTATTTCATAATTTATTTTTCTGGGTTGTGATGGACTGGCCCATTTTTTATATATCTGTGCGATTCAAGTTCTGTGTTACATCGCGTGACCTGATCGGGCAATGGTTTCTTATCTATAATCGCGTCATCTAAAAGCAATTGTTCGCGTTACTCAACTTCCTCGATATGCCAGTGACCCAACTAATGAAGATGAGAGGTACATTGAAGCCCCTTGCTTCGTACAAGAACCCGGAGCAGCTGAATACCACCTGGGCTCTTTCGTGGCACCAAACTCACATTCTACCTAGCATTTCTTCTGAGACAAAAGCTGTCTCCAAGCTGTCCCAAGTTATTCCAATTAGAGCAAATCATGAATATTTACCTTGATAAGTCATTGTTTATGCAGAATGTTCCCTTTCAGAAGAGACAGGGAGCAGCACAGGCTTTATGTTATGCCCGCCAATAACTAGGGAGATGATATGTTTCTCACAGACCTTGGGGGCATCATGGGTATCACAGTTACCTAGACTCTACATATTGAGAGCAATGCAATATGTAAATAAGTATGTTGCTAACAAGCCCATGTAAAAATCACCGATAGCCAGGCTAGTATCCTTCAGGTTCGTCACAGCACTGATCAATTGGTCCACCAGAACAGGATGGCATCTCAAGAGTGCACTGTTCATCTTCAATGGTTTCTTGCACAAGTTGGAATAGAAGGCAATGAGCGAGCTGATAAATTGGCCAAAACTTGGAGTAATATACCAGCAATCAGAAGATATGAGTTTACAACTCATTCATCTGTGAAACAAGAAGCAAAAAATTTATGGTGGAGACATGGAATAGAGATTGGAATCTGGAGCTTTGGCATAAAGAGGTAAGCCAAAAAACTAAAGGACTTTGGAAGTACTACAGGATACAAGCTCAGACCAAATAACCCAGCCTTTCTTTCAGACTATTCAAATTTCGAGGTCACAGCAGGGAGACAGGATCAGGATTCTTCCAGGCAAGGCTTGGGGTTAGAAATACGCCAGTCTATCTGCATATGATAGGAATAGTAGTAGATAAAATATGCAACATTAATGGGAAAAGAAGACAGAATGTGCGACATCTGTTATTACAGCGTCCCAAATTTAGAGATCGAAGTAGCAGATGTTCTAGGGACAAAGAGCTAAGAACACTTTTATTATTATTTCGAACATAGAGAGGAAGAGAAGCTCTAATTAAATAATTGGACATATCCAAGTGCACGGTAGCACACAAAGGAAATTAACAAGGAGTTTTTAAGATAAGCTTTGAGGAAGGGTTTTGAGGGACTAAAATTGTGTAAATGTCAAATGACGAGGTGTGTCTGGTTGGTATAAGAGCTAGCCGAGATAGTCAAGGTCAAACTTAGGAGTCGCGTCAATAACGCTACTCATGCAGATCAGTCGCGTGGAGAAAGTTTGTACTTAGTAGCTTGAGTCCATCTCCCTCTCGTGAATACATTGCTATCGCTTCTCATTCTATATGACCTCCTTCCACTGTGCTGATTCCCTTGTCTTCTCCACAATCATACAGCTATAGAAGGCCTCCCAATTTAATAGTAAATAAATTTTGTTAGTTTTCGTTTTTAGGTCCTAGGATATATCCGTTATCCCGTAAGGGTAAAGACGGGTGTTCGCAGCTAAGATCAAATCTATGATACGCCCAGCTTGTTCCCACCACTTGAACCACTGTTGTGAGCTTCAATTTAATATCAACACTTGTGATTTGGAAGAATAACTCCTCGCCTAGTTTTCGTTCCGATATAGTCATGCTTCACGACTAATTCATTCGGACCTCGCTGAGAGCACCCATAACATCGGGCTTTCTGTATAAAATTTCTGAAGTCTTCTAGGCACTTGGGACCGAGAAGTTTTTGTATGAAGTCTTCATTGGACTTTAAGCCTCGTATTCGACGTTTTTCGTGAGAATGGAGCCGACAGTGTATGGGGTGGGTAGGACTAGTCTCCTCCCCACACGCGCACTCATTGAATGCTTCTGCATTGTTAAATCGGCGATGATAGACCGCGTAATTGCAAAGGCCCATACGGGATGCAATTACTTCATGGAGTAGATGCGTTGATAGTGCCAGCTCTGGCGGCTTGCATCGTTTCATGAGCAGATCTAGCTTTCGATACCGAATAAGGCACGCTTTATCCTACCAATTGTCGAGCAGAGCCTATTGATGATCATTCATGAGACAGCGAAGGTATACAAACGAGATAGATTCTGGTTGATTGTCCGGACTGAGCAACATTCTTGAACCGGTGCGCGCAGTTGCGTCTGCTTCTTCGTTCCCCTGCATTCCTTAGTGACCGGGGACCCACTTGAGTATCACAACACCTGATACTGAAAATATGCAAAACTGTCGTGCCTCTTCTAACCTGGTTGAAAGGAGGGCAAGACTGAAAACCTGTACGCAGTGCCCTCTGCGAACCTGGGAGTGAAATATTCTCCCAGAGCCAAGCTCAGTCAAATC